CCACCTTTTGTGTATGGGAAATCAATCAATTTGCCAAGAGAGCTGCTCCAGACATACCAACATTGGTTTTGGTTTGTTGCTGGGTTTTTTTTATTATTTTTAATATGCTATTGATTTTTCTCAACAGATGAGCATGGTGTTACGACCCGCCCCAGGAAAAGAGGGGGGAGGGGGTAACCCAGGTTTTATCAAAAATTCCTTTGGGGTGGATTAAAGGGAAACGACACTAAATAATCGGTGTATGAGAACATATATTGATAAGATTTATTTTAACAATTTTGAATCAACAGGTAAGTTAACATTTTTGGGTGCTGTCACAACCTTTCTGGGGAGGAGAAAAATGCATAGGGGAGAGAAAGGCAGGATAAGAGCAAGGGAGAGTAAGGGAAAGAAAAGCTGAGAGTGGACAGATGTCCATAGTCACCACCCACGGGGTCCAGCGATGATACTTGATAGTTGCAGCTTCCATGTCTGTCGGTTGAAGTGGTGGCCTTGATCTGCTGGGGGTGAAGGAGGGAAGCCCCCACACTCCAAGAAGTTATGAATTATCATATCCGTGGTCAGTGTCACGGGCCATGCCTCCTGCCTCCAACCTCTCCCTGAGCCCTGCGCAAGAGCTGCTGTGTCTGCCCTGGTTCCCGCCCTTTTCCCGACTGGCGGGGGGATGGGCTTCTATGGGCCATCAGAGGTACAGTGCAACAGTCAAAAGCCTGCAAGCTCGGCTCTTCCCGCCTTTTTGGGCTTGACATCTGTGCTGGAGGAGGGGGGATGGGCCCAGTTGCCCATCAAAAAGTCAAAAGCCTGCAAAAGTCTCCTAGAATGCATAAATCATCAAACACTTCAGTCTCTGACACCACCCCGTGATTTATGCATTCAATAATCTTTTGTCGTTCATTGTGAATCTTCTTTGTGGGCGGTGCTTTTCGTATAGTGGACAGGAAGACAGAAGAGTAAAGGAAAGGAAGAGATAGCCCCAATGCACTGCAATTCTCCTCTCTCAAAAAAAAACAAACTAATTTTATAATAACATAGTAAGCTAATTTGCATTAGTTACTCTCTCCACCCCGTGAGTAGTCATAGGGAATGTAATAGGATCTCAATGGCTACAATCAAATTTCTTAACATTAATGAGGTTACAAACATACACACAAATATTTGAAATTATACATCAAAAAACACTGAGTTACTTGGGAGCTGGTAAAAGGCTTTCTTATGTTTTCTTTTAGGCCTAAATTTAGTTCCATTTGTTAAATTTAACCAAATAGGAAATTCATTGCCTTTCAAGGTAGGAGGTTAATGTATATAATGCATATTTATGTGACTCTAAATATGCATAAATACTTGTACTAACTCCCAGGTTATATTTGGTTGAGTTTCTCAATCGAGAGAGATATTTAAAAAGACAAAATGAACTTGACAAAAAATCAAACTAACAGTACATCTTATATAATTTTACCAGTAAGTTGCTCATATAAAAGGAAAAACCACACAAGTTAACAATTATTAACAACTTGTTAATACAAGCAATTTTGGGAGTAGGGGAACACAAACACAATATTTGTGATAGGTTTTTACATATTGCAAAATTATTAAGATCATAACTTTTTTAAGGTAAAACACATACAACCAACCAATGTGGCAAAACAACAACAACAGCATAACTCTTCAGTCTTGTTGTTACTTCATGTTCTTATGTTTCATGCAGTTTGATTTCATCTGCTGGCAGGTTCCTGCAAAAAAAGAAAATCTGGTCCACTACGGACCCATTATTAAAAAGAAGGAATTATCTATTTATCCAACTCCTTTTCTTATCTGGCATAATGTTACTAGGGCAGTAATAATAGAGAAGTTTGGAACATGTTTTCTCCAAAAAACAAATAAACTCAGAGCATGCTGGAGTTCTTTTTTACTTCTCAGCATCTTTATTTGCTCTGGGGTGGCCAAGGTGTCAGGGGCAAAACACACTGTTACTTTTTCTGTGGGAATCTGAAGTCTCAGACTTTCTAAGTGGGTGATAGTACTTGTCTGAGTCTGGTCCTCTGTGGTGACATCAGCAATCTGGGCAATCAGTTCAGCTTTGTTATGTACAGCAGCTGTTTGTGAGCCAGTGTCAGCATCGAGGTAACTCACTGGCAGCTGCCACTGCCCATTAGGTTTATGGACAGACCATACTGTCCATGGTGAGTGTATAGGGACAACTACTCCTTGATCCTGCAATTCTTTAGTTTCTGGGGTAATGTTTTCACGTGCCCCTAAAGGAAGTGGGTAGGGTTTTACATTTGCTATTTTAGAAGGAGGTAGACTTGGAGCAGTTTGCAACAGACGGACAGAGGGGGATGGGAGACCAAACACCCATTCTCTCCCTCTGGCGTCTGTCCAGGCCCTCCCCTTTAGCAGATCTAACCCCAGGATGTTAGCTGGTAATGGTCCCACAATCATGATAGTTTCTGTGGCTGTCTCATCTCCAGGTAACCAGCATTTCACTCGAGCAGTGTACTGGGGTCGGGATTTGCCAAAAGCATCAGTTACCCATAACTTTTTTTTGTCTGGTTTAATGCCACACTGAATAGCAGCTTCAGTTTGGAGCGCTGAGACCTGTGCACCCGTGTCTACCACGAATGTAACCAAAGATTTAAAAGGGCCAAGAGGAAAAGTGATTACCAAATCTCCCTGGTTGTTTTCTGTAAGCTTTCTCTCATAAACCCACTGGCTATTATTTGGCTTATTTACTTGAGGGCAGTAAGTCCAGTTCCTTGACTCAGAAGTGGTCAAACTGGTTAGTCCGGTTTCTGGAGAGGCTGAGGGGATCACAGTGTTGGACTCTTTAGAGGGGTTGCCCTTAGGGGGTGCCTTGTGCTCTTTGATCTTATCCCACTGCTTTATCAAGTATTCTAAATTAGCAGTGGGTAATTTATCCATCACTTCTCGAGGAATTCCTTTTGCAACACCTTCTCTCCACAGACTGTATCTCTTTCTCCCGCTAGATGACACATTTTGTTGACAAATACCTGGCGAGGCAGGTTTTTGGACTTTCCCTGCCCTCCTGCAGTGTATTCTCTGGTCATTGGTACCAGAGAGCCCCAGCTGCTGACCAGTAGCTATTAATTCTTGGGCTATTTCCAACCAGGTTATTCCTGATGGAGCACCCCTTCCTCTAGGTCTGGGGGTTGCCTTTATGCGCTCCTGTAATTGTTTAGCATAAACTTTTAGTGCATCAGGCAGGCCTCGAATTAAAACTGGAAATCTCTGTGGATCTGCCTCGAGTTCCATTGGGGAATTTCGTTGTGGGTCTAATAATTTTGTATGCATTAACTGAAGACATGCGGTTTTTTGTACACTTTTTACAATGTGGCCAATTGTGGGTGTTTTAATCGTGTAAGGATCTCCCCTTTCTATAGGGTCTAACCCACCTGCCCAGTAGGCAGCTCTCTGGGTCAGGGACCACGGGGCTCGGTTATCATTTGTGGTCAGGAAGACCCCTGGGCCCCAAAATCCTCTGGCCTCATCTTCACTTAATAAAATTCGGTCTCCCCCAGTAAGGGACACCCTCCACACATATTCAGTCTCTGATTCACTGGCCTTACGGCTGTATTTCTCCTGAATTCTGGCCAGTGCTTCCCCCGTGTACGGGGTAGTTCGTGTGGTAGTTTGCCTATTTGCCCCCTGGCCAGTGGTTTCAGTTTTAATGAGGGGACGCATATGTATTACCCCGTCCTCCGGGTAACTTTGCTTCAACTCCTCTAATTCCCCAGAGGGGTACAGGGATTTGTTAACATCTACCGGTTTAGGGTATTTTGAATGAATGTCTCGCAATTCACAATTTTTCATTTCCAGTATCTTTTTAAGCCTTTCATTTTGTTCCTCCTCATCTTGCAGAGCTGACCGAAGCAATGAGTTAATCTCTCTCTCTTTCTCCAGTGCCTGACGCTCCGCAGCTAACTGCAGGCGTTCTTTTCCTAATTGCTCCTGTAATGCCTTCATTGACTCCTGAAGAGATCTTATCACCTCACCGGTAGATTTTTGAATAGCTTCTTTTTCTAGTTGGTCCTGCAAAGATCTCATTGACTCTTGGAAAGATTCTATCACTTCACTTACAGATTTTTGAATAGCTGATTTTTGCTTTTGCACTGCTCTAAGGAACAAGCCTAAGACAGCACCCACAAAAAACAGTTCTAAACCAAGGGTAACTATCAGGAGGGAATAATCCCCATATAACTCAACCTGGGGTGTCATCCCCTTTGCTTCAATCATTAACCCAGCTTAGGTTAATGTCTTTCTCCCCCTTAACCCTCTGAGGGCTGGTTTGACTCTCTCCTGGAAAACCTTTCAACAGGTCCAGGTACCAGAGAACCTTTCAACAGGTCCAGGCCACACCAGGAAACCTTTCAACAGGTCTAATGTGCCCGGGTCACACCGAGAGGAGAAAAATTCTCACTATAATTTTACAACGAAGGGATAGTCACCATTTGACTCACCCTCGGTATCAGTTTTAGAATACACCGATTACTCCACCACATCCAAAGTATCCTGCCGACTACGCCAAAAATGTTACGACCCGCCCCAGGAAAAGAGGGGGGAGGGGGTAACCCAGGTTTTATCAAAAATTCCTTTGGGGTGGATTAAAGGGAAACGACACTAAATAATCAGTGTATGAGAACATATATTGATAAGATTTATTTTAACAATTTTGAATATCAACAGTAATGTTAAACATTTTTGAGGTGCGTGTCAACAAACCTTTTGGGGAGCGAGAAAAATGCTATGGGAGAGAAAGGCAGGATAAGAGCAAGGGAGAGTAAGGGAAGAAAAAGCTGAGAGTGGACAGATTGTCCATAGTCCCACCCACGGGGTCAGCGATGATACTTTGATAGGTTTGCAGCTTCCATGTCTGTCGGTTAAGTTGTGTGGCCTTTGAGCTGCTGAGGAATGTGAAGGAGGGAAGCCCCCACCAACTCCAAGAAGTTTATGAATTATCATATCCGTGGTCAGTGTCACGGGCCATGCCTCCTGCCTCCAACCTCTCCCTGGGCCCTGCGCAAGAGCTGCTGTGTCTGCCCTGGTTCCCGCCCTTTTCTCGACTGGCGGGGGGGATGGGCTTCTATGGGCCATCAGAGGTACAGTGCAACAGTCAAAAGCCTGCAAGCTCGGCTCTTCCCGCCTTTTTGGGCTTGACATCTGTGCTGGAGGAGGGGGGATGGGCCCAGTTGCCCATCAAAAAGTCAAAAGCCTGCAAAAGTCTCCTAGAATGCATAAATCATCAAACACTTCAGTCTCTGACACATGGTTTATAACAGCAATAATTTGCATGAAGCCAGCCATTACACAGGATAACACCTAGTTGATAGAATGCTAGCTTTTGCCTCTAGTAGCTAACTGAGAAACTAGATTGAAAGGGGGGCTGTTAGTTTTATTTTGTCTATTTTGCTATTAGTAATGACTGACATAAAGGTGAACACTACTTGAATACTTTCACGTGCTTTTGGAATGGGGGGGGGAATATGAATGATCAACTGTCCCTTTCTGTTTTTTTCAAGGAATTAACTGGTGAGTAGTTTTTCAACTGAATCACATACAGGCTGCATTTCATCAACTTATTTAAGCATGTGTTTATTCCCTACTGGAATTGCATGCACTGAAAATTAAACATGCATTTAAGGGCTTTGGCTGAATTAGGTTGTTCAAAGGAGAATTGGTTCCTAAATGAGATGGGGCAAAGGCTTATTTGTATGTATACTGAGTCAAAAAATTGAAACCTGGTCTTCATGTCTTCCCCTAAAGCAAGTAGAATACTGGCCAATTTATCATGTGCATTAGATGTGAATACTTTGGGGTTGTATTCAATTCTGATACTATTAAGAAGCCTTAAGATATGAATGTTAAAACTATGAAATACACAAATTATTACAAAAGCATATTTCAAGTGTACCTCACTGCAGGCTGTCGCTGTCATCTTCTCATGCACTGATATCTTCCCTGCAGCACTATTTACTGAATTCAGCTCTTTCTCTGTTTTATATATTTTGTTACCCTCTTTTTAATAAGTATATTGCTTTCTAACACATTTAGCATGCAAGTTTAGTGAAAAGATCACGTTAGTTATTGACACTTGTAGTTAGTGTATTTTTATTCATCTTGTTACAGAGAGTGATAGTCAATAGTTTTTAATCCTGTAACCACAAAACTATTTATGCTATGGTGTCAGCTCTAGTAATGCATCCTAACCCATTTCCACAGAAGTTTGAAGTGTTCCAGAATAATTTTGGTGGTTTTTATCTCTATTGATTATGTCATTTTAATATATGTATGGTAATGTTAATAGTTTTGGCTAAAAAAAAATCCAGTCATTATACAAAAGACAATCAAAGAAAAATACAAAATCTCATATTCCTTTTTTTTTTGTTTAAAATATGTTCAAAGTGACAGACAATTACTTACAGGTATAGACTGTGAAAAGGTCCAGGCTGGGATATGCTCTGATCCATAGATATGAACTACTACAATCGTAATAAAGATAATTTGCAAAATTTGATTTCAGTACTTCAGTCTGAGGTGCTTGGTTCAGACCTCTAAGCTCATTTCTGTTTAATCAGAACCTGTGCAAATCTATGGGTTTATGGGAGACATTATTCGTATAGACAGATGTTCTTTTTCTTAGAAGCCTGAAGATTGAAACAGCATCCATACAACACCAACATGTGCAAAACTGAAACATTTTCTGTGTTTCTTGGGGAGAGGATTGGGCTTGGGGGTTTTTTGGTCCTGTTTTCACATGAACACATGATATTCACAAGATGTATCACTCTTGTAGTATATATGGCTGAAAGAACTATGAAAGCAAAGGGGCAGTAAGCTTTTAGGCTCTGTCTATCAAGACTGATACTTTGACCACTGTAAATTGTAGTCTTCTACTTTTGGCACTATTTTCAGTAACTTTTCAGACATAAGTCAGTGGATTTACGAGACCTTTACCATTCAAATAACAGTTTCAAGATAGGTGAAATCTAAGCTCTAAATAATTTCATACTGGTTGTAAAATAGTTTATTATGACATCTCAAAAGCTGTGTTTGGATGAACTTAGTGGAGCTACTAATTACTTTCTGTACTTATTACTATTAATATCATTGCTATAAGCTTTGGAATTAAAAATGTAAATAAGATATTAAGCTGTCTGAGTATTTAAAAGGTTTAAGGGAAAAAAGGCTTACATCCCCATTTAGTGCTTAAGTGACCTCCAAAGGACAGAAAACAGTGTAGACCAGCAAAATCAGACATTCCCTGCAAAATAAATTAACTTGTTATTATCACATATTAACACATTATATATCTCTCACTCTTCCACATTCTGATTATATGTCTTGAAGCTGTAAAAATATAATGAATTTCTCCTTATTTGTATTTTACATAGAAGCAAGGTGATTTTTGTGGCAAGTGGATATCTTGATTTCTTTTAGACTGCAGAATAAAAGCACAGGAAGGACAGGAGACAGGAGAGACAGCACAACAGAAACCATGGAATTAAAAAGAGTAGAATGTATTAAACAAAAGATATCTAAATCTATAAAGGTAAGCTTTGGTTAGGTCACATTAGGTTTTGTTGTGAGCATACCGTACTTTCCATATTGAATATTTTTTTTTAATCTGTCATTTTCTTCATAAATTAAAAAGTATCATCTTCCATATAAACTGCCCTAAAAATAAACCAAAGAATAAAACTCTTGCTTGAAAGTTAGCCTTGGTGCAGTAAAAAACAAGTGCATATTCTGCAGCCATTTATTTCAGCAGAACTCCATAAATATCATGACTTCAATAGGCTTTGCCTTGTGCTGAGGTCTATTTATATGTTCTCCATAAGAGTTTTAGCATTTAATATCTGACTACAAAGTTTCAGGCTTACTTAATATATGAAAAAAAAACTTAAGTGCTGCATGCTGCATTTTTGAACTGGAGTCTTTTATGTTGTTAAAAATATTTCAGTAGTTTTTAAATATTTTTTCACTTAGTTTAGTTGTGCAGTAGAAGATATGGAAAACTTAAAATATGATTGCAGGTTGCCTCATGGCACAGCACAGTATTGTTACTCCTTTGGGCACTGTGCCCTCTTTGAACTGCCCTATGAGCTGGATAGCAACAATATTATGCCCTCAAGAAATGATTGCTTCTAGGGGAAGAGACTGAATCATGACTGTGCTGTCCTTTGAACTCTGCCTCACAGAAGAAAAGCTTGCAAGACCACTTCTTGTCACCAAGTCCCTTCCTCACCTGAAGGCTGAGCTCCCCATCGGATGCTGGCCAGCATTGGACCCAAGACTCCAACCACACTCTTGCTTTTCCACCACCCACCCAGGACACAACAGGTCCCACCCACACTGTTGCTCTCACATGCAGTAGAAAATGTAGGGAATTAGAGAACTCCTTCTTTTGCCTTTTAGGCCCATCCCCAGTATTTAATTTTCACCTGCTCCCAAGGCCAGGGTGGCTGGCAGAGCAGTGACCTGTGATGCTCTGAGCTACGTACAGCAGCAGTGAGTGGCAAAGCTCAGAGAGCAGTCAGCAAAGCTGTTCTGTATTTCATCCTATTCATTAACAATTTGTAGTTAAGGAGTAACTCCACTTGCATTTCCCTCTACAGCCTCATGTGTCAGCTGAGCACTGCACCCGCTGCTGATGCTGCATTCTCAAGAAACATCAACATTGTTAGATTGCAAAATCTTCCTCTTTCTCTGATGTCTACGGGATAACCTCACACTCTGACCCCTCATGACTGACTCATGGCAATACGCAAAGTAGCAAAGTCGGGCTTCTAGTCAAGTGCTACTTTTAAAATTTGTCCAGTGTTCTCCTAACCAGTCACTAGTATAAGGCATTAAAGTGTGTGTATTTTAAATCACTTGCATGGTCACTCCAAAACTCATGTGCATGTTTTACATCCCTGGTTCAGAAGTCCTGCTTTCTTATCTTGATTTGGGATAGCTCACCTTTGTGTCCTGAATGGCCTCAGTTTAATCCCTGGTTTGTTATACAGCAGGGATATGTTTAACTAAAAGGTGATTATCTACTCTTCCAGATGGTGTGAGCTTGGAGAATTTCTGTTGGTCAGAAGAAATATAGCTCCCACTGGTATATTAGTGTGTGTGCCTGGGTAAGCCTGCCTGACAGGTTCCCCACAGTGCCTGACCTGCATGGCCTAGGAGGTCCACTTGCACCTCCTGGATTTCAGCAAAAGCTTGTGTTAGGAGAACACTAATGACTCACACCACTATAGATCTTTTGTGCTGTAGCACATTTACTATTCACATTTACTATTCATCAGAAGCAAATAATTCTGTGGTAACACCTCAGTCTCTTAGAAAATCAGCTGAAGTCACGACAGCATCAATGTTTTCACTATCTGTCATGTGGAAAGCATGAGTTTGGGAAGCTCTCTAGAACTGTGTTTACACTGAAATCAAAGGTTTTCCTTCTCCTGATATGTACCTGAAGGCTTCATCAGTACAGAGAGAAGACCAGCCTCTTGCAATGGCTGCACTTCAGAAACACTGCATCCCAAAACTGGAGGAAAGCATTACACGGTCCAGCTAGATTAAAGCAGAATAAAAGACATGTCTATCAAGTAGAAAAACATTTCGAAGCAAATTTCAGGATAGTTCAGTAACAGCTACAGGAGGCCCTGGTTGAAAGACCATTTGTGCAAATCCAACTAAACCTGTGACGGTGAACAAACAGTGTGTATGCTGGAATTGGCTCATGGTGTTGCTCTTTGGAACATGCCACCTGCTCCCTGGCTGTGGTCAGGGAACTTGTGTGTTCTCAGCATGCTCCCACCTCTCTACAAGGGCACCATGCACATCACTTGACATAGACCTGATGTGGGCTGTGGAGTAGATGGTCTTTTCAACCATCCAGTCTAGGAATGGTCATATTGAGAGGGTACTGTGCAGGATCTAGAATTCTTTTTTCGGTAGCCAGCTCTTTTCATTTCACAAGCACTGGAATCTGTCTACAGAAGTTGTTAGTCTTATGGACGAATGCCTTGTTCACTGTAGATGAAAATTCTGGTAAACTACAGATTTTGAAAACCTCTTGCTTCTACTTTTGAATATGAAGATGAGAATCTAACTTTGGATTCTTAATTTGAATGGAAAAGATTAAGATTTCAAATCTTACTTACCTTTTCAATTTGCAAATCAATTTTTATTCCATATAGTCAAATATATAGATATTGTAAAATCAGGTACGTAACTATGATTCTAAACCAATCTGGAATGTTTATTAATTGCCACATTTGCAACATTTGAATTCATCTGTCAGCATATTAAGAGAAAAGGGAACATTAAAAGGAAGAATAGAAAAAATTCACTGGGATTTATTTGCTTGTGTTAAGAAAACAGAATGCAATCTGTGAACAGGGAAAACCAAGGCTGAAGTAAATTCCCTGAAAAAGACCTAAAGAACTCAGTGGCAATACAGTTACGTTTCATAAAACAAAATATTGTCTCTTACTGAATCTGATGCATAATACAAATACTAGAAGATCCTTTAAGTG